GGAGCCAGCAGCCATCTGGGATGCCAGCAGTGACTCCTGCTGTGCCACAATGCTGGCACCAGAATTCAAAATTTTTTTTTTTTTTTTTGACAGGCAGAGTGGACAGTGAGAGAGAGAGAGAGAAAGGTCTTCCTTTGCAGTTGGTTCACCCTCCAATGGCCGCTGCGGCCTGCGCACTGCGCTGATCCGATGGCAGGAGCCAGGTGCTTCTCCTGGTCTCCCATGGGGTGCAGGGCCCAAGCACTTGGGCCATCCTCCACTGCACTCCCTGGCCATAGCAGAGAGCTGACCTGGAAGAGGGGCAACCGGGACAGAATCCGGCGCCCTGACCGGGGCTAGAACCCGGTGTGCTGGTGCCACAAGGCGGAGGATTAGCCTAGTGAGCCACGGCGCCGGCCTCAAAATTCTTTATGCCAAAATTAACTTATCTTTTCATTCCAATTCATGAACTTGTTGAAGTGCCACTTACTAGAGATTAGATAGACAAATAGATATCGCTGTCCCAGCTGTTTAGAGACTGGCGCATATGATAAACAAGACAGACCGAGGCAGACAGCTGCATGGCTCAGTGGGTTAGTCTGCAAGCTGGGCACAAACTGGAGATGGGGGGGGGGGGTGTTCACTGACCCCAAAGGCTGGCCGGGGAGTTGTGCTGGCCCTGAGCCCCTAGCTGCTCTGGACACAAAGGTAAGCAAAACCACCCTTGCCACCTGCAGGTACGGAGCAGCCAAGCGGCTTGCAGAGAGAGGCACACAAGGAAACAGACAAAATGCAGTGTCATTGCAGGCGCCAGTTAATTGGGCAATGTCTGTTCAGTGAAATGAGCACATGCTCTCTGACCAGCTCTTAGTCCACTCGTAGGTCCCACAGAAACAGCCCCGTGTGTGTGCAGAACTACAGGGCTCAAGAGGATTCTGTCCACGAGTGAACAAGCAAAGGCTCGGAAGGGAACTGAGTGATGACTCACAGGGCACCGGTTAAATGCATTTTGATTTATCCATTCGATGAAATATTTGCAGACAAAAAGGGGAACAAGGATGTTTCCACAGTCTGGGTTTCATATGCATATATTATGTATATCATACATATTTTATGTGTATTTGTTTATAAAATAAAGTTAAAAGATAAAACCCGCCAAGATAACACTGCAATTGTTATATGTAAATTTCCAAGGCTGACACTGTGGCACGAAAAAAGTCACATACACTTCAGTGTGACTGAAATGGCACTGATTGTATATGTATAAAAAAGGTTTTAGGCCAGCGCCGTGGCTCACTAGGCTAATCCTCCGCCTTGCGGCGCCGGCACACCGGGTTCTAGTCCCGGTCGTGGCGCTGGATTCTGTCTCGGTTGCCCCTCTTCCAGGCCAGCTCTCTGCTGTGGCCAGGGAGTGCAGTGGAGGATGGCCCGAGTACTTGGGCCCTGCACCCCATGGGAGACCAGCAGAAGCACCTGGCTCCTGCCATCAGATCAGCGCGGTGCGCTGGCCACAGCGCACCAGCCGCAGCGTGCCAACCACGGCGGCCATTGGAGGGTGAACCAACAGCAAAAGGAAGACCTTTCTCTCTGTCTCTCTCACTCACTGTCCACACTACCTCTCAAAAAAATAAATAAAATAAAATAAATTTTAAAAAAAGGTTTTAGAAATTCTCACATGGACTTATCAATCCTGCCTTGAAAAACCTTGAACAGCAGACATAAAACCCTGGGACTGCTGAGTGCCAGATGGAAGACTGGAATTCTTTTTTCTAATATCTTTGAGCTAGAAAATCTTATATTTCTTTTTTAAGATTCATTTTTTTGAAAGACATTTTACAGAGAAAGGTAGAGACAGCGAGAGAATTCTTCCATCTGCTGGTCTACCCCTCAAATGGTCCCAATGGCCGGAGCGGAGCTGAATCGAAGCCAGGAGCTTCTTCTGGGCCTCCCACACAGGTGCAGAGGTCCAAGGATTTGGGCCATTCTCTGCTGCTCTCCCAGGCACATTAGCAGAGAGCTGGATCAAAAAGTGGAGCCACCAAGACTCGAAGCAGAGACCTTATGGGATGTGAGCACTGCAGACTGGAGCTTTCACCCACTGTGCCTTAGCACCGGCCCCAGATTAGAACTTTTTATGATGCACTTTTATAGCATTTCAAATTTGTACTGGCACAGTGGGTTAAACCACCACTTGTGATGGCGGCATCTCATATTGGAGTACCAGCTCGAGTCCTGGCTGCTCCACTTTCCATCCAGCTCTCTGCTAATGTACCTGGGAAAGCGAGGGAAGATGGTCTAAGTGCCTGTGCCCTGTCACCCATGTGGGAGACCTGGGTGGAGCTCCAGGCTCTTGGCTTCAGCCTGGTCCAGCCCTGATTATTATGGCTATTTGAGGAATGAACCAGAGGATGGAAGATATTTCTCTTTCTTTCTCTCTTCCTCTCCTTCTTCCTTTCCCTCTGCCTTTTGAAAAAATCATTTTTAAAAGGAAATTGGTACCTTGTGCATATATACCTTACTCAAAACACCGCAGAAACTATTTTTTTTTTCAAATACATTAAAGTAGGTGCTAGAAATGGTGGTGGCACCAAGTGCTGAGAACACAGAAGCACCAGGGGCCGAGATGAAGAAGGAGAGGGCTTCCAGGAGGCGGTAATCCTTAGGTCGAGACTCTAAGGACAAATTATGGCCAGTGGTGCCCACAAGGGGAGGAGGGCTCCTGACAGAGGCGTGGGCATCTGAGCCAACAGGGCCATTCAAGGAAACACCTGTAGGACACCTTGGCTGAAGCTCACGGGGTTCCAGAGCGGCTTTCGGGACACAGGAGGGCGGACAGGCTCTGGGCTTCTGAAGTGGGGACTTTTCCTAGCACCTTGCACACTGCCTGGCACACAGGAGGTGCTTGTTCAGAGTCGGCTTTGGACAGTGTAGACACCTGGTTAACCCAGTAGGGATTTCAAAGAAACTCGGAAGTGAAGGGTAGATACAGAAGTTCAAGCGATGGGGAAGTCCAGCCCCACTCCTGCATAGCCCCGTGAGCAGAAGCAAGGGCCACAGATCTGGTGCCTCTGCTGGGCAAGCAACTCAAAGCCCAGCGCTTTCCCAGGAGGACAACCCACCAGGGCTAGGCAAAGCTGGCTCAATTTCAGTTCCAGGCAAACAGAACTATCTACAAACCCCCAACAACTAGGCCAGTCTGACAACTGTTTGGGTTTTCTCATTTCCTGTGCTGAGTGTGGACTCCCTAAACAAGACTACAAAGTACACCAAGACAACTACGCAGGTGCAGCCAAGGAGAGTCTCATCCAGGGACTTTCCAGCGAAGATGAGGTCGAGCGGGAGACTCAAGCCCGGCCACGCCTCAATCCAGTGTCCTCACATTGTCTGTAATCACACGCTACCTTGAATAACCAGCAAGGGCCCGTTTTACAAAAAGAAAAGCCCTACCCCAAACACATGGACAAATCCCTTTCCCCAGTCACAGTTATTAAACTAAGTCAACTACGCCTCTCAAGCTTGGTTGTGCAGGGGCAATTCACGTTAGTCCTGATAATAAAAAACATGATAGCAATTTTTTAAACAATACATTCTTGTCCCTAAGTTGCCATTCCACTGCTCTAGGGTTGCTGTGAGGGAGAGAGACGGACAGACACTGCCAGGGACAGAGGAAGCGATGCAACAACACGCCTTCCTGACACAACCAGCGCTATGCCCTCTGCTGCAGAAGTACAAGACGGACCGGTTTTATACAAATTGCCCTAACAGATTCATACTATACGATAGTTCTAATCCATCTGATATGCACAGATCCAATGTCAGCAAGGAAGTTAACTAACCAACACATATGTTGCATCAAACAGAAAAGAAAGACTGGCCAGAGTCAATGGAATCCATTCGAAGCCAAAGAAACAAGGCTACAGAAGCCAGGAGCTGAATAAAATGAAGGAGAAAACTAACCCTGGGCAGCCCCCTTAGGAATTCTATCACATGCCCCACCCCACCTTCGTAAAACCTTTCTCTCTCTCCCCAATCCATACATGCTCCAGTTTTCCAAGGTGGGCTGTCCATGTTCTTGGAAGAGCAAGCAGGTGCAATGTTGGGTTGTGGGGTGTGTTTTAGCCACGTGAGAGCTGTGACAGACAAAACATGCTCTTCTCTCTCCCCGGAGCACCTCAGAGTCGCGGATACTCCGGGCTGGAAGCTGTTAACGCCGCCTGGGCTGGGCCAGGTGGGCCGACGGTAAGGTCCGGGGAGCTCATCCGCGCTTGTCAACACCACACCTGTGAACACCTCCCGTGGGGAGGCTTCCAAATGAAAAGACCGGGACACAAAGCATCCATGCTTCTGGAACTACAGGGCCCAAGCTAAAAAAAATCTCAGATTTGTTCCTCCAAGTCCCCGGAGGCTGCACGCACAAGTTAAACTCCCCTGCGCCTGGTTTTCCCAAATTGGTCTCCCCTAACCTACGACACATCTAACAACCTTCTCTCGTGGACCCACTCCCGCCATCCCAGCGCCCCGTTGTCACACCTCTAACCTCACGCTCAACAAACGACCCTAGCAGGGTGCCACAGAGGCAAAGCCGCAGGTACGCCACCGCCCCCAGGAAAATCCGAGACACGTGTGCGGCCCTTTATGCGGGCGTGCGTGGGCGCGCACTCGCCTCTCCCCGGCGCGCACGCAAGCACTACACACGCAGCTGGGGACCATTTCCTCTCGCCGCCTAGCGCCCCAGCCCCTGTTTTGGCTTCTGATCAGCCCGGTTCCCATTCCACTTCCCTCTCCCAACACACGCACTCCTCCTCTCGCCTCCGCGCCGCACACGTGGAGAAGCGAGTCCGGGTGGTGCCAGGAGGGCGGAGCAGGCCAGGGGCGAGGAGGGAAGGAATTCCAGATGGGATGTGGGATGTTGGACCTCAGATCCCCGGGGGCAGGGTCCATGCGGTCGGTGTTCCCCGCTGGGACCTGGGAGAGGCAGCAAGGGGGAGAAAGCTGGGGAGGAGGGCCCCGGGGTCACTCACCCAAGGTTTTGACAGCGATCTGCCTGGTGAGCGGCGGCGGTAGGTTGATGCACACCAGGTCCACGTCCTGGTGCAGCAGCACCTCGTCAATGCGGCTGGTGTAGAAGGGGACGCTCATCTCCTTGGCCAGCTCCTCGGCTTCTTCCTGCGTGCGGCCCCACAGAGCCTTCACCGCGAAGCCCTCGTCTTTAAGCAGCGGGATGATGACACGGGCCGTGAGGCTGGTGCCGAACACGCCCACCCCGGGAAGCATGGCTGCTCAGGTCCGCCGGGCTTTGCTTCTGCCCGGATCTCCAGCCGAACACGCGCGCACACACACACACACACCCCTCCAGCTGGTCCTGCCCCGCGGCTCCTGCCGCCGACCTCGCCGCCGTGCGCCGGGCAAGGCGCCCGGCTCCCGAGAGCGCACCGAGCTGCAGGCGGAGTCCGCGCCTCAGTCCGATGACTGCGGCAGTGTCCGCCACGCGGGGCTCCTGTGCTTCCCGGAGGCAGTGGCGGGGACGCCCCCAGGGCGCCCGAGGGCCCGAAGCCCCGCGGAGCTCGGGTTCAGGCGGCGCTCCCTCAGCAGCGCGGGCCGGCTCCGTGCGCCCCGCCGAGGCCGCTCCATGGCCGGCTCATCCCCGCGCCGCCGCAGCCCGGCACCGGCTGTCTCCCGGGTCGTTTCCGCAACTGGCGAGGGGCACACACGAGCTTCGACACCCTTACCGGGGCTCGGACCCGTTCGGCGGCGGGGTCCCCTCTCTACGCCACGCTCTGCTCCCAATGAGATAATCCGGCGGCCACCAGGAGGCCGGCTAAGGATGCGGCTCGCGGCGCGCCAGGCGCGGATCCGGAGCTGCAGCGCGGCCGCGGCGGCCAGGACCCGGCGCCAGCCTCCTCATGCTGCTGCCATGTTCGCTCGCAGCGCTGCTCGCGCGGCCTCGGCCCCAGGCCGGCTCGGGCTCCGGGATCCCGCGGGGACGAGGGCGGAGTTGGCGACTTTGGCTGTCAGCGGCCGGGGTTCCTGGCCCGCCCCCGCCGCTGCGCCGCGCGCCATTGGCCGCCGCGCGCCGCCCCCGTCACCGCCGCCGCCGCCACCCGCTCGGGGCGCGCGCGCTGCGCCCGGGCCCCGCGAGTCCGGCTCCCGCTGGCCTCGCTTCTTCCCTTTCTTCGCCCTCACCGCCTCCTCGCTCCGCTCCAAGCCCCGCCCCAAGCCAGCGAATCCATCCCGCACCGCCAGGCGCGCCCCAATAGGCTGGTGGGCGGACCCTGGGAAGCCAGCCGCGGGCGCCCCGGCCCGGGGGAGGCCAGGGCCCGGGCGACGAGTGAGCAGCGGCTAATTACGGCCTGCGCTCCGGGAGCGTCTCCTACGTGCCGGGTACCACGCTGGGGAAGCTTTCCAGGCATTCAGCCTTTTTAATTCTCGCACCAGCCCTAAGGCGGTTGGAAACCCAGTGGACCAGTGACGTCAGCGAGCCCCGGGGGAGGCTGAGGGACTTGCTCAAGGTGACACCCGTAAGCAACAGGCCTGGGTTCGTAGTCGGGGCGCTGAAGCACGGAGTGGACTCTGCCGAGCGCGCCTGCTCGCCCCGTGCGCCGCCCCTGCGGCCGCACACAGGCAGGCGCCTTGCGCGCAGCCCCTGTCGCCTCGGCAGCCTCCGCTTTTCCCCGCCCCAGGCCGGCGCCCGGACGGACCGGGATGCGCCGGCGGCCGCCGCGGGGCCCGGGTCTCCAACATCTTCGCTTCGTGTGCGTCTCGCGCCTGGGTTTCACGTGTGGCTGCGGCCAGGTGCGGCGCACAGCTCTCCAACTCCGCCTGGGCTCCTCTCCTGGCTGCCTCTCGCCGCCTTCACTCGGCCCGCCAGTTCGTTCCGCATCCTCCCCGCTTAGCCATCGTGGGGGGACCCAGGGACGGGGCGCGCGGCGGGGGCGTGGCGAACTTGTCCCAAACCGTGAAGCCGTGGGGACCCCGCGCCTGTCTGGTTTCCTGCCATTTCCTTGGCACCTCTTGCACTGCCTGCCTGCTGTGTAGCCGGCTCTGGCTAAACGCGTGCTAAAGGAATGAAAGGATAGTTACTGAGTGCCCGTTTTGCGCCCACCTGGCACCGGGACAGGGGACCCAAACCGAGAGACGCGCTCTGGAGAGGTCAGAGGACCGTGTCTCGTTCCTCTCTTGCTTTCACTCAGCGAGGCACTCGGTCTGCTTCAATGCCACAGTGGAAAACGTGACACTTGAAAGGTTTCAAGCGACCTGTGACAGACAAGTGGCAATGAGAGAGCAGGGTGCCCTGAAGGCCTGTGAGTGGCCGCGCGGCGGGGCTGACCTCGGGTCATCCGAAGAAAGGCACAGAGGACAGGGCACTCGGTGGCGGGCAGCGGCTTGGGGAGAACTGAGATACAGAGGGTGCCGCCATCAGCACTGGGGCTCCTGCAGCAGATTTGGCAAGGCCCGAGGCGCAGGGCGCAGGGCGCGGGCATGGTATACCCGGGCCCCAGGAGCTGCCAGGACAGCCGGGAACAGCAGGGCGCTCCTGTGGAACCTTGGGCACATTACTGCGCTGTGCGCAGTTCCGCGGGTAAAATGTTGGAAATACTGGGGTGTGCGGGAGCCTCAAAACGTCGTCGAGAATGGAAGCAGAACACAATGCACATTCCCACAGGTGTTTAGAACCCCACCCAGAGGCCACAAAGGGTCTGGGAAGATGGTGTGAGTATTTGTAAAGTCCCGAGGCGGGCACCTGGGACGCCTTGGAAATCCTCTGCACAGATGTGTGCAACCTACACCTTTAAGCTTTTTAAAATTTTAATTTATTTGAGAAACAGAGATGGACAGAACGCCAGGTTTCCCACCTGAGTAGCAGGAACGCTTTTCACTGAAGCCAGCACCGGGGCACTTCACAGGGTCCACCACAGCAGGAAGTTGGAGGCAGGAGCCAGAGCCAGGCGGGAAGCCCACGTATTCTTGTGTGGGACCGGGGCGCCTGCACTGGCGGCATTTTAACTGCTCGTCTAAATGCCTGCTTCAACCTACATTTTTGATTATTGACTTACCATAACCTATATAAATGCTCCGTGTCGGTGAGTCTGTTACCAATGTCATTTTTTTTTAATTTTTTTTTTATTTATTTGAGATGTAGAGTTACAAACAGAGAGAAAGGTCTTCCATCTGCTGGTTCTCTCCCCAAATGGCTGGAGCTTGAGCCTATCTGAAACCAGGAACCAGGAGCTTCTTTCAGGTCTCCTACACCGGTTCAGGGGCCCAAGGACTTGTGCCATCTTCTACTGCTTTGCCAGGCCATAACAGAGAGCCGGATCAGAAGAGGAGGAGCAGCCGGGACTAGAACCAGCGCCCATATGAGATGTTGGCACCGCAGGTGGAGGCTTAGCCCACTACACCACCGCGCTGGCTCCCAATATCATTTCATGATGTGAAAGACAATTGTGCAAGTACAGCAATGCCTAGCTAATGAAAAGGAACTTTTCTTTGTGTTTTTTTTTTTTTTCAAAGGAAATTCTACCCCAGCTTCAGTATGACTAAAAAGAGCACTTTCATCCACATAACAGCAAGAGAAAAATGGTCACATGTAATTCTCATTAGAAATGGGTATAAAATAAATATTATTATTCCCACTTCATGGAAGACAAAACCAAGTCCTGGTAGCAACTCAGACTTAACAAGTCTGAAGCAGAGCTGATCATTTCCAGCTCTACCCCACCCCATTCCTCCCTCACCGGTAATTGGCAGGGCAGCCCACCAGGTGGCCGAAAGCCCTGGAGCCATCGGGCCCCTTCATTCTCATACCCTGTGGAGCCAGCCACCACCATCCTACCTGTTGTGCTGGAAACTGCATCCAGAGTTCACCACTGCCCCCTGTGCTGGGGGTGGGGTGTAGCCACCATTGTCCCTGGTCTACCTGCCTGCCACCTTGCCTCCCATTGTCCGTATTCTCTGTCCAGCAGCCAGAGTGATCTTGGCTTCCCTTTTGGTGAGTCGGATCATGGCCCAGCGGGCTTGGCACCTACCAGTGAGTTCCTGCCGCACATAGGATAAATTTCACAGTGCTCAGCATGTCTGAAAGGCTCTGCCTGGCCCAAGCCCCAGCCTCTTGTATCGCATGGTCTACCATGAGCCACCTACATGCTGCAGCCCAGCACCTGGGCTCCTCGCTGTGCACACACAGGAGGAACTTGTCTCAGGGCCCTTGCACTTGCTCTGGTCTCAGATACCCACCCCTACACACACACACCATGAGGCTCACTGCTCACCTCTGCTCAGTTGTCCCTTCCTCAGATGGCCTGGCTGACCATCCTATTGAAATGGCATCCCTGTCACATCCCATCCCTTTGTCCCGCTTTGTTTGTCTACACTGAGTCTGTCACTGCCTTACATTATATATGCACCCATTTAGTGTGCATTTGTCTGAACAGACTGCAAATTCACTGAGATCAGAAGTGTATCTGTGGGGCTGGTGCCATGGTGCATTGGGTTAATCCTCTGCCTTCGGCACCGGCATCCCATATGGGTGCCGGTTCTAGTCCGGGTTGTTCCTCTTTCAGTCCAGCTCTCTGCTATGGCCTGGGAGGGCAGTGGAGGATGGCCCAAGTGCTTGGGCCCCTGCACCCGTGTGGGAGACCAGGAAGAAGCACCTGGCTCCTGGCTTCAGATCAGTGCAGCTCCGGATGTTGCGGCCAATTGGGGGTGAACCATGTCCTGGGCTTCTTGCTGTGCACACAAGGAAGGAAGACCTTTCTCTCTCTCTCTCTCTCTCTACCTGTCAAATAAATAAATAAAATATTTTTTTTTAAAAAAAGTGTATCTGTCTGTGGGGAGCAACTCGGACTAGACTAAGTTACTGGAATTAAGACTTATTCTATGCATCTGCTCTCCCACAATATGGCGCTGGGAGAGGAGTAAAAACAACTTTTACACAGCTGCCTCCAGTTCAACCAGTAACCGGCAGGAGCTGATCCCGCTCCTGATTGGAGGAGAGCAGCGTACTCGGCGTGTGGGTAGCAGAGTTGGGATTGGTGGACTATAAAGGAGGAGAGAGACAACATGCACCAGGAACATCTATCTGAAGGAACATCTGAGCAGCCCCCGAGAGAGCTGGCCGGCGGTGTGCCGCTCCCCCGCGGAAGTGGGGAAAGTGGCAGGGGGAACCGCCCTTCCACGGAGGTGGAAGGGACGGTAGCCAACCCGGGAAGAACCAGCAGCAAACCCGGGAAGGGCCGAGCAGACAAAAGAACAGCGCAGGGTCCTGTGTCGTTCCTCCACGAAGAGGGGGAGCGACATCTGTCTCATGCACTTCTAAATTCCCAGTGCCTAAAATTGTACCGGGGGGGGTGGGGGAGGGGGCGGTGCCATGGCGTAGTGGGTAAAGCCTCTGCCTCAGTGCCAGCATCCCATACGGGGGCCAGTTCGAGTCCTGGCTGATCCACTTCCAATCTGGCTCTCTGCTGTGGCCTGGGAAGGCAGTAGAGGATGGCCCAAGTCCTTGGGCCCCTGCACCCACGTGGGAGACCAGGAAGACGCTCCTGGCTCCTGGCTTCGGATCAGTGCAGCTCCGGCCCTTGCAGCCAATTGAGGAGTGAACCAGCAGATGGAAGACCTCTCTCTCTCTCTCTCTCTCTCTCTCTCTCTCTCTCTCTCTCTGCCTCTCCTTTTCTCTGTGTGTAACTCTGACTTTCAAGTAAATAAATAAATCTTTAAAAAAATATATTGTACCTGGCACCTACTAGACACTGAACATGCTTTTGTGGAACAAATGCTTATGTATTCCTCTAATAAATGATTATTGTTGCAAATTAATTGTTTTTGAAGATTGATTTATTTTATTTGAAAGGCAGAGTGAGAGAGAGGGACAGAGACAGACATCCAACTACTGGTTCACTCCCTAAATGGCTGCAACTTCTGGGGCTGGACCAAGCCAAAGCCAGGAGCTAGGAACTCCATCTGGGTCTCCCACGTGGCTGGGAGACCATGGACCCAAGTCCTTGAGGCATATCTGCTACTTTCCCAGGTGCATTAGCAGGGAGCTGGATGGGAGGTGAGCGGGGGGTACCCAAAGTGACACACGTATTGGATGCTGGAGTCACAGGCAGTGGCTGGAATCGACCTTGGCAATGCAGTGTGTGATGCACCGTGGGAGGGGACTGTGTGGTTGATTTGGGAGCAGAGGAGTCCTTTGCAATTGTAATGGGAAGCCTGTGAAGACGACAGAAAGAGAAGTGATCTGGGCCTAGGTGTTGAGACTGCGTAGAGGCGGCGTCCATGGGAATGAAGGTACAGGTGCAAGTGTGTGAGATACACAGGGACGCTTTGGGAGAGAGCAAGCAGCTGAAAGCCCCTGGGCCTGGCTGTCAGTGGAGGTGGGAGGAGAGGGAGAGGTGTGAGGGCTTGGGGAGAAACCAGGTGTCCTTTGTGGCCCCACTAGCGTGGCAGGTCTTACTGCCTGTGACCTGGGCCTTACGGGTTTGCTCAATGCAGGTGACTGTCCTAAGCCCCTGGT